TAATACTCAATGTAAATATCTCAAAGACACAGACCTTTCCAGGACACTTGATTATTACTCAGGTAAAACATATTGATTGTTACATATATCATAGCAACCATGGTATAATCAAACATGACCAGTTAACCAGAGAATAATCTAAACCTAGACCACTGCCTACAGTGTATCAAACTATCTCACCACCCCTTTTAAAATCTTGATTCTTTAATTGTTCCTTATCTAGATGAAAAATATCTAGCTATATTTATCATTTATTACCATCAAAATTTGCCCTTTTAACAAATTATAGTGATAGTATTTTATGATGTTGAAGAGATTTAGAACAATTTCGTGGAGTGGTCCAAGTGTGAGCCATGGAATAGTTATGTAGCCCGAGGACTGCACATCCTCAGAGTTTCCATTTGCAGCAGAGTTGACGCCCATAAAATGTGGCCATGGGACAAGATGTATCTGGGATCACCTTTATACGTGGTTGTCTGGTGTCAAGGTATACATTGTTCTGTTTAAATGCTAGAAAATAGCTTTCTCTATAATGGATGCTATCTCAACAGCCATCTTTTGCACCTTGACAATTGGCTGAGAGTTGGTGGCTATTCAAGTCATCTTTGATGATTACCTAAGTAGCTTTGAATAAACCTAGCCTTCATCAGAAAATGAATGTCCTAGTTTAAAAGCGAAAGACAACTTTTATGCACAATAAGTAATATTTTCAAAGCCCATAAATGTTTCTTTTTCATCAGTGACCCTAGAGTCGTTGTGAACTAGCAAGGTGTTCCCTAGTTCATTCAGAAGGCAATAGGAGCTGCCTGATTTCAAGTACCACAATATTTCTTCTGTTAGCATATACATATTTAGCCTGGAGGAAGATCATTCCAAAACTGACCATTAAAAGTAGGCTTTTCAGAGGTGCCCAAGCTGTAATGAGTAAGTTCTTTTCGAGTCCATATGCTCCTTTAAAGCTGACTGTTGGAATTGATTTTCCTTCCTTCTAGCTTTTCCTCTTCTCTTTTGGGAGTTGAATACATGCTCTCTTCAGTGAAAAGGCATAGTTTATTTTTATCAGAGGCCTACATCCAAGCGCATAAGAACCCATCATTATATACCATGATTAATTTGACGTTGACCGCATCTTGCACACCACTTAGCTCCTGCCCTAGGAGTTGGAGAAGCTCAAGAATGAGTCAGCAGAAAGGATGAAGTTGTATGATCGCATGGTTCATTTGTTGATTCATTCCACCTGATGGGCTCAAAACAGTTTACTGACGAGACCCATTCTCAGGAGATTGACACTGTTGCCTGGTAGAAAGAGTAGGTGTCTTACTCAACAACCAGATGGCCTCGATCCACTCTCTTGGAGTCCACTGGGTCTCTCTTCATCTGAAGACTGAGGCTTTGAGGCTAGGTGAGTTCCGAGTTCCTTCCATGAAATGAACTGCACAGATACTGCTTGTGCATTAAATCACAATTAAGTCAGTGGAGAAATAACCAATTCCAGGTAGAGTGGAACCTATGGCCTTTGTACAAGAAAGACATTTGTATTCTACTTTTTGGGGGGTAAAATTTGGTTCAATAAAGTGAGAGATTGTTTTGATTGATGAATAATGCTTTGGGAGGAGGAACAGAGTTTAGAATTTCTAAAAAACATATTCATTTTTAAACTGTCAATTGAAACATTTATGATATACCTATAGGTGTACAACTCATTGAATTTCACAAATGGAACACATTCCTGTAACTGGCACACAGGTCAAGAAACAATATTATATGCATGACAGAAGCCCTCGTGTGCCCATTTCTGATTATTACTCCCTATTACCAGCCCTCAAAATAACCAGTCTCCTGATTATTTCCACTATCGATTAGTTTTGCTGCTTTTGTTCTTCCTATGGATGGAAATGGATATAATGTGCATTGCTTTATGCTTGGCTTCTTTGGCTAAAATTATGTTTCTGTGCTCCACCAATATTGTTTACTGTAGCTGAGGTAGACGCTTAAAATTTTCCTCAAGAGAGACATTGATTTGTCTTTGCCTAACTCTATGAACATTCTCATTGGAGAGACTCGTTTGGGAGGATCGATAATATGTCATTATGAACAGAGAGCAGATAAAAAGGCTGAAGGGGAGGACACATTTTAATAATTTATTTCCATATTATTGAATAATTGATAAATCATACCATTCATGTGTTTTTAAAATGTAAGGCCCTCTTGAAGGGGGAAAGCTCATTTGGTGTCTTGGTTCCAGACATTAGCACACCATCGCCAGGGGAAGAATTACTCCTCTGGAACTGGTAAATTACAGGATTCTGAAAGATTGCTAGCCTTTCTATGGGATTGAGAAACCATGATGTATCTCTCCCATGCCCTCATCCTCTAAAATGCTTTCTCTACCTTATTTTCACCATTAAAAAGGAAACAACAGCACAACGCAGTTGCAATCAAGTCAATTCCAACCCATGTGGATCCCATTAGTATCAGAGTAGAACTGTGTTCCATAGGATTTTCAATGACTGATTTTCTTTTTCTGATGTTGATCACTAAACCAGCCTTTCAAGGTACCCACTTCTGGACTTGAACTGGCAACCTTTCAATTAGCACTGAGCACATTAACCATGTGTGCTACACTGAGACTCACCCTAGACAGAAAAATCCCCAAACCCCAATGCCATTGAGTCAATTCTGACTCATAACGACCCTTTACAGGGCTTCTGAGACTGTAAATCTTTACAGGGGCAGACAGCCTCATATTTTTCCTGAGGCGGTGGACTTGAACCACTGACTGACCTTGCAGTAGTAGTCCAACATTTACCCAGCATCGCCAACAGGGGTCCTTCCCCCCTGGACAGATGAGGTGCAAAATAGAGCTTTGTTAAATGAATGAATGAAGAAAATAGCTAATGTTTATAATGCATTAACAGTGGAGACCCATATGTTCTTATCTCTTGTTTAATCACCTTAGAAACACTATTGACTTGATACTGTGACCACAATTTGCTAGATAGGGCAACTGGGCCTTTGGAAATAACTTGTTCAGACTCATCCAGACATTACCTGGCAGGGCTGGGACCTTTGTTTCAGTGCTCCATAGTCTTCACTACTATGCCCACATACACCTTCTAGAGTTCACAGAGGTTGCCACGGTGCTTGGATTCACAAGTGCCCTGTGGGAGAGAGCTCTACCAATTGACAACACATATAACGTGATTTGTTCTGGCCACTTCCCCTCTGGTTGTGTCTGTTCAGTGGGCTTTCATTGCCCCTCTACTGTGTGTGAGCCCAAGGATGGGCTGTAATATTATTTAGTTGATGTCTTCCTCCCTCAGTGTCCCATGCTGACTGTCATGGGGTCATGTTGATCAAGTGCTCAACCAAAAGAGGAACAGAGTCACTTGCAGCATTTGCTAAACAGTTGCCACTTCTTTATGCCACACTCTCTCCAGCCTTTGTCCCACCTCCACCACGTACATTTCACCTGGTTAACTTCTCTCCAACCCTCATATCTTTTTATTGGGTACATATTGGACTCAATAAATACTTGTTAGATGAATGAATACATGAATGGTAAATGAGGATTCTAGGTTAATCTCTGATACAAGTTTTGCTTCTTAAGAAATAATGACTATCTCCAAGCAGACCAGATACCATGGATTCCAACTCCTGGCGACCCCATGTGCCTCAGAATAAGACAGTACATCATAGGCTTTTCATGGCTTTGACCTTTTGGTCACCTTCCATTCGGCTCTCAGTATTTCCTCTCAGATACATTGCTCTTGATCAAACCCCACGCCTCATTATACGCCCTCCTCACTGTCAATTTTAGATCTCTTGTTGTTCCCTTATCTCTGAGTGTGTTGGCTCCCCACTTCCCCTCTCCAGCTCCTCATCTCCCATGTCCCCCCAGAACTGGTGGTCCCATTGTTTTCTCCTCAGAATTGTTTGTCCCTCCTATCTTATCTAGATAGACATAGGGCAAAATAAAAAGGAAAACAAAAACAAAAATTAAAACAAGAAAAAAAAAAAACAATAGGTAGTTCCAGGTCTATCTGCTGACCCTTATGTATGTTTTCCGATCAAGTCTGATGAAGTGCCAAGCTCTGTCCCCCAAGTCAGAAGTCTATTTTCAGGAGGCTTTGACCTTTTGGAAGCAGAACACTAGGACTTTGTTTTTCATGAGGTGCCTCTAGGTGGGTTTGAACTGCCAACTTTTTGATTAGTAGACAATGCTTAACTTTTTTGTGCTACCCAAGAACACCAAGATATAAAAAGGGGTGGGTTATTTATAGGATTCTGAAACCACTTCTGATTGTTAGCAGTGTTTATTCAACCTTTACATAGTGATAATAATTATGTATGTACTATTTTGTTTTTTTAATTTTTTAACTGTAATTTTTTTCTCTTGATATTTCACATGTATTGGGTTTTCCATAAGGCCACATGAACTACCTTGCTTATCGTTTAAACATAGCTGGGTTGTTGCTGTTCTTAACTGCTGTCAAGTTGGTTTGTGACTCATAGTGACTTCCTGCACAATGGAATGAAATGTCTCTTGGTCCTGCCCCATTCCCATGATCAGTTAAGGATTGTGAGCCTTTGGGGTATTCATAGGCTGGGGCTTGGAAGTAGATTGTCATGTGTCTCTTCCTAGTTTTTCTTAGTCTGGAAGCTATGCTGAAATGTGCTCAGCAGCAGCAGCAGCACACAAGCCTCCCCTGGCCATTGGTTGGTGTATGCACAAAGCGGTGCCTTGGTTGGAAATTGAACTCAGGTTTCCTGCATAGAATGTGAGAATTCTACCACGGAGCCACCATGGCCTTGTTACCATGAGGCAACTCTCTAATAATAAATACATGTTTTGTTTTCTGTATTGCTAATTATCTGGGACGATAGTCACTTAAAAGATGCAGGATTACAGGTTGCTTTGTTGGGGAACTAACCTTTGGGGTATTGTATCTTGATTATGGCAGCTATGATTATCTGTTTCCTTCTGATTTTATTCCAGGATGTTCTTCTCTGGGAGGCAGTACAGTCATGCTGGTAAACCTGAAGAACTTTTACTGGCATTCAAGATTTTCCTTGTCATCATTTGTCTTCATGTTGTCCTGGTTACATCCGTGGAAGGTGAGTGGATGTTTTGCTCTTTTTTTTTCTTTTGGGCTTGTTTTTCTGCTTGCTGATTTTTTAAAATACTGACATGAAACTTAACTTTTGTATGGGATTCTAAGGGAGACAGAGGATCAGCCAAATGAAGCAGTTTGGTTTTCACAAAAAGGGACCGTTGAAAGCATATGAAACAAGGAAAAAAATTCTGGAAGAAGGCAGAAACAAATCTAGTAATACTGAGTTGTAATATCTGTCCATGTACCTTCCAGAAGAATATAGTAAAGGCAAATGTAAAGAATCATCATTAGGAATGTGATTTGGGTTATTAATATTATTTAACCAGTGCTATTGAGTTGATTTTGGGCTTCCACTGTCATCCATAGCCTTCTGTCAATGAAGTCTTCATAATTTAAGCTGATACCATTCCCTCCTTTGGATTGGATTTTTAATTTACAATCCTTAGATGCCACAGGCTTGTGTGCTTGTTCCTTGTGGACTTAGTTGACACATCACTTAAATGACTGCTTGTTTAAAGACAAGCATTTAAGACACCAGACACTATTCTTTCTAAGAGCTGGGCACCATCTAGTTTCTTCACCACACTTTGCTATCGCAGCCATATCTTCAGTGATCCCTTCATGAGGGCAAGCATCAAGCACAGCCATGCCATAAGAACAAATTGTTCATAGATGGGGACTTTATCCATTCTTCAACTGATAGGCCTCGGGGCTATTTCCAGCTTCTTGAAATTGTGAACTATATTGCAATGAACACAGTCTGTTTGTGTTTTCTCCTTATTTCTTTGGGATATATGCACAGCAGAAGTATTGCTGGGTCATATGGTGTTTCTAGTCCCAGTTGTTTTAAGTATTGCCAGATTGATTTCCACATGGTTGGACATATTTACAAGCCCACCAGCAGTGTATTAGAATTCCAATCTCTTCACACCCTTTCCATCATTTGTTGTTCTCTGTTGCTAATTTTTTAATTGGTCTATCATTGTGGGTGTAAGATGATATCTCATCATTGTTTTGATTTGCTAGTGATTGTGAGCATTTCCTGATGTGTTTGTTAGCCATTGGAGTATCGTCCTTTGAATTTTCTATTCATGTCCTTTGCCTACCTTTTAAATTGATTATATGTTTTTTTCTTATTGAGGTGTTACAAAATTCTATAGATTTTAGTAATTAATCCTTTATCTGATATGTCATTGCTAATTTTTTTCCCAATCATGGGTTCCTCATTTTTGCTCTTTTAATGAAGTCTTTTGATGTGCATAAGTGTTTTATTTTTAATAGGTCCAAGTCATCTATTTTGTCTTCCACTGTGTATACTTCCTTTATTATATTTGGTAGTCTATGTATGCTCTGTAATAGGGCCCTTAGGTTTGTCCCAATCTTCTCATTGATGATCTTGATAGCTCCGGGGTTTACATTTAGGTCTCTACTACATCTTATATCTGTTTTTGTACATGAAGTGAGATATGGGTCCTGTTTTATTCTGCTGCATATGGAGCTCCAGTTTTTTGAAGTGGGTGCCCTTTTCCAAATTTATGGGGTTTTTTAGTCCAATGTCAAAGATGAGTTATTTTTAGCTAGATGCTTTATTTCTGAGTTTTCTATCCTGTTCCATTAGTCGATCATTATACCAGTACAAGGCTGTTTTGACTACTGTGGCTATGTAATAGGTTTGGAGATCAGGTAATGGAAGGCCTCCTACTTTGTTCTTCTTTTTGAGAAGTTCTTTGCTTATCCCAGGTGTTTTCCCTCTCCATATGATGTTGGTAATTAGTTTTACCATTTCTTTAAAGAATGACATTGGGATGTGGATCTAAATTGGGCTGTATTGGTAGATTGCTTTAGGTAATATTGATATTTTAATAATACTGTCTTTGTATCCATAAACACACGATATTCTTCCATTTGTGTAGGTCTCTTTTGATTTTTTTGTGACAATGTTCGATAGTTTTCTTTGTACAGGTATTTTATTTAGGGGGGTAGGTTTACTTCTAGGCATTTCATCTTTGGTGTGGCTGTTATAGATGGTAGTTTTCTTGGGGTCTGTTTTTGAGCTCTCGTTGCTGGTATATAGGAATCCAATTAATTTCTGCAATAGTTAGAGTTTCACTTCTTATTTGCCCAATTGTATTTCCTTGATTTGTTTTGTTTTGTTTTCTAATGTTTCAGGCTAGAATTTCCAGGACAATGTTGAATAAGAGTGGTGATAAGGGCACCCTTGCCTAGTTCCTGTTTTCAGGGGAATGTCTTCAGTTTTTCCCCATTGTATGTGATATTGGCCGTTGGTTTTTCATATACAGTCTTTATTTTGTTGACGAATTTCCTTACTATCCCTATATCATTGAGTGTTTTTATTAGAAATAGGTGTTGGATATTGTCAAAGGCTTTTTCTGCATTTATTGATATAATCATGTGGTTCTTATTCTTGTTTGTATGTGGTGGACTACATTGTTTTTGTAATGTGGAAACATCTTTTCATACCTTGGATGAATCCCACTGGGTCATGATGAATTGTTTTTTAAATGTTGTTGGATTCTATTGGCTAGAATTTTGTTGAGAATGTTTTCATCTATGTTCATAAGGAATATTGGTCAATCATTTTCTATCTTTGTCTGGTTTCAGTTTCAAGGTTATGCTGGTTTCATAGAATGAGTCTGTTGCCCTTTTCTATATTCTGGAATAGTCTGTGTAGAATTGGTAGCAAATCTTCCCTGAATACTTGGTAGATTCCATCTAAGGAGCATTCTGATTATTTATTCCAAGGCCAATTTGTTTATTCTTTTGGCACTGCATAGTTCCAATGCATCAATTTTTCCATACAGATGAGTCAATTAAAAATACCATGGCTTGGGTCAGGCGCACCTTTGTTCTCAAAGTAATATCCTTGGTTTCCAACATTTTGAAGAGGTCTTGAGCATCAGATTGACCTAATACAAAGTGTCGTTTGATCTCTTGCTTGCTGCTTCCATGAGTATTTATTGTAGCTCCAAGCAAGATGAAATTCTTGACAATGCTAATGTTTTCTCCATTAATCATGATGTTACCTATTGGTCCAGTTGTGAGGATTTTTGCTCTCTTGACATTGAGTTGTTATCTATACTGAAGGCTACAATCCTTGATCTTCATCAGCAAGTGCTCAAGTCCTCCTCCCTTTCAGCAAGCAAGGTTGTGTCATCTGCAAATCACAAATTCATCATAAACCTTTCTCCAATTCCAATGCTGAACTCTTCTTCATGTAAGCCAGCTTCTCTTATTTGCTCAGTGTAAAGATTGAACGACTATGGTGAAAGGATGCAACCCTGACTCACACCTTTCCTAATTTTAAACCATCCCTGTGTTCTATTCACACAACTGCTTCTTGATCCATGTACAAGTTCCAAAGGGGCACAATGAAGGGTTATGGGATTCCCATTCTCCTCAAGGTTTTTTATGATCCACATAGTCGAATGCCTTTGCATAGTCAATGAAACAGGTAAACATCTTTCTGGCATTCTCTGCTTTCAGCCAAGATCCATCTGATGGCAGCTGTGGTATCCCTTGGTCTGTGCCCTCTTCTGAATCCAACCTGAACCCCTGGAAGTTCCCTGAAAGTGTTGTTAGATGATCTTCAGCAAAGTTTTACTTGTATGATATCAATATTGTTCTCTAATTTGTGCATTGTGTTGGGTCATCTTTCTTTGGAATGAGTACAAATATGGATCTTTTTCTAGTCAGTTGGAAAAGTAGCTGTCTTCCAATTTTTTGGCATAGATGAATGTGTTTTATCACCTTGTGCTTTATCACCTTGTTGAGACATTTCAGTTGGTATTCCATTAATTCCTGGAGCCTTTTGGTTTTGGCGAATGCTTTCGGTACAGCTTGGAACTCGTCCTGATCGGTGTCCCTAAATTGTATGTGTAGAAACTATGGAATTACTGTATACATTCTCAACAATAAAATGTAGGGCAAAAAAATTAACTGAGGAGGCAAAATCACTGTGGGATTGTCAGGGCCAAAATCCAGCATCCCCACTTTCCTGATGAGAGAATGTCCCCAGGGCCATCCCTGGTTAGGAAGTGGCAGAGCCCGGACTGGATGTTTTATCTCCATTCTCATGTTGCGGGGGCGGGGGCGGGGGGTGGGGGGAGGCTTCTTCCCACCATAGGGGTAGATGAGGTAAGAGAAAAGGGGAATGCTTCATCAAAATGAGAGATGCTTGTTAAGGATAAGTTGTTTAGAAAAAACTCAAAGTGAGGAACATTTTTTAAAATACAAGGGATGTAAATAGCGTTCGGTAGACAGGATGGTGAAACCAACTCTGGTGGGGAAGCCTGAGTGGTTGCTGAAGGCAGCTGGATATATTTCTTTATATACTGGCCCTAGAGAAAGCATTTTTATTGTGGTTAAAAAAGAAATATAGGGAAGCATTTGTCAATTCGCTAATTTTTCCATGTACAATTCAGTGACATTGTGTTCACCATAATCTTTTAAAAAAAATAATTTTATTGGGGGCTCTTACAGTTCTTATAGCATTCCATAGATCCATTGTATCAAGCATATTTACACATATGTTGCCATCATCATTTTCTAATCATTTACTTTTTATTTGAGCTCTTGCTATCAGCTCCTCTTTCCCCCCCCACCCCATTTTCCCCCTGTGACCCCTTGATAAATTATAAATTATTATTGTTTTTATATCTTACATTGACCTCTGTTTCCCTTGTTTCTATTGTTCATCCCTCTGGGGGGAGGGGGATTATGCTTCGATCATTGCGGTTCCTCCATCGTTCCCTCCTCCCCCCACCTTCTCCCTCCCCTTCTGGTATCATGACTACCAATTCTGTCCCTGAGGGGTTTATCTGACCTGGATTCCGTAATCTTGCAACCATCACCCCTTTCCAAATCAGCCCACCACTACTGATGGAAACTTAGGACTCCCTAAGCAATGACTCGAGGAGCCCTGGTGGTGTAGTGGGTATGAATTGGGCGGTGATCCACAAGGTGAGAAGTTGGAAACCACCA